CTCATGTTGTGTGGCTGCTTATGCTGCCTGCTTACGGGTTGGCTTGGAGGGGTCAGGAGTCAGCTTAAGGTTGCTTCAGTTGCTCACGGCGACGCCCAATGCGTGCGCCGGTGGGAGGGAGTGTGTGCGCGCGCGCATTGTGGCTATGTGCGCATTGTGGCAGGCTTGCTGCTGCTGATGGTGGGAAGTGTGCTCTGTGTGTAGCGCTGCGCTGGCGTGCGGCGCGCGCGTGCTGTGCGCGTGTGCGTGTTGGATTCGCGTGTGCGTCTGTGTGTGCTGCGCTCGCGCCGCCGGTGTGTGCTGTGTGCTGTACTCTGCTGTGCGCCCTGTTTGTGCAGCTTTGAGGCGCAGGCTTGGCTGGCAGGGCTGCGCGGTGGGCTGCGGCGTGCTGCGGGTGGTCGCGCGCCTGCCTGATGGTGTGCGGCGGCCGCGCAGCCCGCCCGACCGGGTCGGCGGGTCGTCGGCGGCCCAGGGCGCGAGCATGCGGTCTGCGCTGCATTGAGGCTGCTGCGCGGCTGGCGCGCAAAGTTTCCGTGCGGAGAGGGACGCGCGTATGTGTTCACGCTGCGGGCGCGGGCGGGCGCGGAGGGCGGCGCGGTCTCACCGCGGTCCGACGTCGGTTGTGTGGCGTTGTGCTACGTCAGTACTGGGCTGGGTTTTTAGGCATTGTGGGGTTGGCACTCCCATCGACCCTCATGACCTCCTGCGGTCTCTGAGATGGACACCAGTGGGTGTGGGACCACAGCCAAGATACACTCGAAGGCTGGGTAAGCAGTAGAGGTCGATACTCGACGCGTCCCACATGGTCTGTGTCGCTGTCGGCACGCTGTCGACAGGACGTTGAGCGACACCGGTGGCAGTGCCACTCAGGAGTGGTCGGGCGGTCTCCCGTCATGAGAGAGCCACCATGTGATCCGTATGATGGTTCCTGACAACCGCCTCAGTCAACTTTCGTCACAGTTCCCGCTCTGAGAGGAGCTGCGGGTCAGCTCGACAGCTGGAGCTGTGTCGCCGGCGTGCGGCGGCCTGCCTCCGGAGGTGCCTCTGAGGTGGAAATTTTTGGTCACCGTGAGAGAACGCGTTCGAATTTTCACTCCGGAATTTCAACTCCGCACGCGCACCGGCCAGGGCTACAATAGTGCCAGTGAGGCGGAGGCGCGAGTCGGAAGGCCGCGACCGTCAAGTGTTTTTTCCCAATTTTCCTACAATTTCTGTGAACCCAGCCACGTACGTGTGGTCGCGCTCGGCGTGTCGCGGAGGGCGGGGCGCGAGATGCCTTGCCGCGCCATCGCGTCGCGCGCGAAGAAAAAAAGGCTCTTCACAATACATAAAATACTACCCCCTAAAACCAGAGAGACCATGGTGGACGCATCTCGTTCGTGCGTCTGCGGCCTCTTCGACGTTCTCTTCGACGTTCTTTTCGCTCTCGCCAACTCGACCGCGTCACCATCTCCTCAGCAGTAGCGGGCCTGCGGCTGCGCCTCCGCGGCGCATCCCTCGCTCATCATATGAACCGAGCCCCCTCCTTGACCGCCGCCGCCTCCTCGGCCGCGCTGCTCGCCTCGGCCCTCGCCTCGGCCCTCTCCGCCTCCCGCACCGCCTCCTCGTCCCAGACGGGGGGCCCTCGCTCAAGCACCTGCGGCACGCGGGCGCGCGGACGCGTCAGCAGCGTGCC